CGTGTCTCATAGCAACAGATTGTTGCCGCCGACGTGTTGAGTTTTGGTGGTATCAGACGAAGGCTCTAGATACGTATTGAACATGTTTCAAACGGAAAAAGCTCGCTTTCTGTTAGGATTCTAGTGCAATTAGTCATGCCTATCTAGGCTGGATTTTAGTTGCACTATCACATTTAACCCGACAAAGCGTTTGTCTCTCTTTGTTTAACTTTAAATTTCAATTTAATCCATAAAACAGTTGTCGGTGTGAAACGAATCTTATTACACGAAAGAATTTTTTTCAGTCAAAAATGTTTAAAAGGCTTTTAAGTGCTTTTAAGCTAATGATAGTGCCAATTCATTAAAAGAATTATAGAATCTAAATGTTATTAGGCAATTGCTAGTTGTATTCCTAAATTAATACAAATTAGCTTGAAAGAAAAGTACAAAATATAGTCTTTTTAATTTATTCAAAGAAACCTGCTTACATTTCGAATACCTATCCCTGCAAGATCCTGACACTTTGGCTCATTGCGATTTATCAACCGAGATCCTTCACCCCTCGAGCACACCGCGGAAAGATTTTGGGCCATTTTCACGGATTGGGCTAAAAATTGTCTCGCCTGTCAAACCACCAAGGTCCATAAACGCACCCGAAATCCGCTTTCTAGCTTCACTCTTCCCGAGGTCGGTTTTCGAAATATTCATATAGGTCTACTTCCCCATCAAACGCTTTTAAGAACACTCTAATCTCCATTGTACGTTTTACGCGATACCACATCTGCATCTGTGGCAAAGACTTGGTGTTCCAGTCGTAATCGCGTCAGCAGAAGGATGGCAATTCACTTCTGCCTTTTTCGGAAGTTGAGTCACCTCCTAGGTCCAATCCACAACCCCACTACCACCTACCATCCAGAAGGTAATGATCTAGTTGGAAGTTAGCATCAATATCGTAATTTCTTCTGGCTTAAAGGTGGCCGGAATGCCTACCAATCATTGTTCTCACAATTAAAAATACCATTAGGGGAGACCTTTGATGCTGCCCCGTAGAACACGCATTTGGTACAACCCTTTGACTACATAGCGAAATGATTTGTAACTCCCAAGACAAGGATACTTTAGGCTCCCGATTGAAAGCTCATTTCATATCAATTCACCACAAAACATATTCATAAATACGTGCTCACATACCCCTTCGTTTTTGCTTAGTGCGGAAACATTTGCGGTCATCTTGCGACGGATCTATCAAAGTTCTCAAGCGAAAACTTAAATACTTTATTCAAGAGCGCAACGGTGTCAAGGATTTGATAAGTAACGACAGGTTAGAGCCCGGCATATTTAGTTCCTCCTGTTGCATAACCCACCCCTCCCCTCCCACCCCCTCCCGAATAACTGCCATTCTGCTCACCTTAAATTGTTACCTTGCTACATCTCCACCCACTGTTAGAACAATTCCTCAAAACATGTAATACACCCTTCCACTCTTCCATTCCAGCCCTTGACCCTAGATACAGTTAAACCTAGTGTGCCAAAACCTTGCATATCTCGACCCAAGCCTTCTTGCACTCTCTGTGGTCGAAGAGTTACTCCTCCCTCTTGAATGTCCAATTGTGTTCATTTATCAAGCTTTTCTCCTCTATAAACGCTCTAGAAGAGGTTAATTGTAGAGTATGCATTCCAAATGCGATTAAACTGTGAACTCAAGCAATCTGAAGGGTGTGATACGGAGGGCTTCTCAGCTAGTCAGCTATTAAGGTCCATTCAAGTCATTTTAATCGCGCTCAATTACTATTCACGCTTGCTGTGATCATACTTTCAATTAGCGCCATATTTGGCTCTCTTTAATGTCTTATTTTCCATTGTAAACCTTCATTTTCTTCCATTATACAGAGCCTAAATCACAAAAATTCTTTGCCAACTACTAATTTAGACATCGTCAAATACCCTGAGAATAAGAGAATTCTATGTTGCCCACGTGGGGTGCTCAATAGACTTACCTCCACGTGGTGCACCCTGGGCAACGTATTCTCATACGGCAAAAAAGTCTATTAACTGGCAGTTGACTTCTCACTTCAAACTACCACCACTTCACTCTATGCCATATTCGACTATTTCCACAGTACTCACCTCACCTTTTTTCTACCTTTGTGTTTGTCTCTTACATCTTTGAAACACTCTTCTGTTCCCCCCCCCTCTCGACTTTTTTTCAATTTGATGTTCCTTCCCCTCTGTGAAGTCTGAAGTCAACTAAGGGCTAATAATAACCATCAAGGCGCCTGCCATTTGATATAAATATTTACTGCTGTTAAAATGTTCGCCAATTCTTCTCCCTTTTCAACTTTGGGGTTTTCTTCGATCTGAGGTATTTGGGGGGCTAGGGTAGTAATATTTCAAAATTTAGAAGAATAGTAACTGAGCTTAGTATCCCACCCCTTAAATTTGTATGCTCTGTGAGAACCAAGTATTGTACTGACTATCCCTGTCCTATTGCAATGCATCTGATTATTTGGGGGTCAAATTCGGTACCTTTCTGAGTGCTGTGTGGCTAATCGTACTGGTTAATATCAGTTCGCAAAACAGGTGACACAGCATACCATTTTTTGCTTGTGCGTCCATAGCTTCAAATCAGTAGTACGTGTATAGAGGTGCAGGTGAGACAGGTTTAATTACTGCCCATAATTATACGAGAAATCGGTTACATGTCATTGGGAACTACTGAGATTAGGCAACATTGTCCAACAAGTGGTAAAAGAGAGTGGGGGGATCGAGTTGGCCAGAGTAACTTAGAAGAAACGAGTTGCACAAAACATACCAAATGAGTACTCTGCGTCAAGCATTTCACATTTTTATTCTTCGTACCTTGAATTTTGGCTCATTGGTCGATTAACTTAACAATGACGGTAAGCCTTACCACTTCAAATAACTTTTCATTAAATGATTGAACCACTTTGTTCTTACGCAAATCAGTATCTTAGAGTCCCAGCGTAACAGAGATGAGACAACCACAAAACCGGTAAATCATAAGATAGTACACATCTTTGTCATTAAATGTTGATTGAGCGAATTATAGCAAAATACAACTACCCTATTGTAGAATTTAGAGCCAAATTGGAATTTAATCAAAAGATTCCATTCAACAAATTAGTGAATCAATCTTTGCTCACTTAGGTAAAGTACCCTCCCCTAAGAAGTTGAAACATTCTAGGTGAGGCTAAACACTCGCCGTGTACTCCTTAAGACAAACTATTAGCAACAGTTAAATCGCCTATGAAAACAGACAGCAGTACAGGTTAATCAAACGCATACCACTAGCTCTATCAGTTGGTAGTTGAAAACAAGCAATTTTTCACAAGACCTCAAAGAACCATTTTCCCTAGTTTTATTCTCGATGTTTGTAGATCGAAAAATAATTTCAATTTGAAAGGAAGTTTCACATCCACGCAAAATGTAAACGAACGGATAAATAAATACGTATTGTCAAAAATTTGTACAATATGGAGGATATAGACTCTAACGCATTGAAAAAGTAAGGGACATTTTTACACCTTTGCCAAAAGTTTTTGCCTCCTTGAAGACGTTTTTGAGGAAGATTGAGCAGCTTCTTTCTCCAATTTGGATTCCAAGTTCTCCATTTCAACTTCCATTTCCTCAACAGTAGTTTCATGCGCATCTTCCTCCGACTCTTTCTCGCGTGCTGAAGAAATTTGACTATAGGGAACAGAAATCTTACCGTTTGGTGCTTTGATAAGGTGCATCTGAGTTTCAACAAGCTTAATATCCTCCTTTTTACGCAAATCAACACCCTTCTGCAGTCTTCTCATGATATGCATTCTCTCACGCTTCTCCTTGATTCTGTTAATACTGTCGATTGCGTGAACTAGAAGAATTAGAAAGAGAAAAAGCAACGTACGTGTAGTGATGAGATTATCGCGGCTGTACTTTTGGATTTCGTTGCGCTTCCTCTCAAAAGTCTGCGCAAAGTCGTCACTAAGATCCTTCTGGAAAGATTTCCTGTAGGTCTTAGTCCACTTCGTCTTCCTAGGAGCCTTTTTCCTTGTGAAAGCTCTGCGA